ATGTCAACTCAAGATATAGAGAGATAGGAAAGATCCCGGCCGACTTTGTCTCTCCCCGCGGCACGTGATAAGACACACACCTACATATACAACAACGCCCCGCTGCCAGCACTGCATTCCGCAATTTTAGTGCTGCACATTTACCTTTCATAGCAGTGAAATAAAGCCACGCCATGGTCGCTACCTCGAGAAAGTTCAGTGACAGGAACTTGTTGTTTAGCTGTTATAGAATGCGTGAGTTGTTTCTCCCCCACATGCTTGAATATTTCACCAAAAGATTAGCTGTGGGGAAAAAATGGCCGTGTTTCTTTTCTTTGTGAACAAAACTGAGCAATTTTTTTTCCAAGATCTCTGGTCAACATTTGGCAGAGTTTCCCATTTTTACTTCCACAAGCAGAAATTTGGGGGCGTTAAATGTTCCAAAAAAAACATTGGCAGCATCTCTTCTGTGATGTTGCACACTTTAATCTGACAGTCACATTTTGGCACTTGTGAAATAATTAAATTAGTCAGACTCATAGACTAATAGCACACAGCAGCCATCAAAACCGCATTTCGTCAAAAAAAGCATTGATTTCCATGCTGAAATTAGCATTGCCGCGTTGCTGATTTCCTGTTTACAGCCCTGAGCCAGTGAATAATAACTCCCTGTTCCTATGACGGGGCAGATCTAACCGTAGGACAACTACGGTTGACTTCCCCATGAAGTGGTACTCATTTGACCGATCTCGCAGGGATGATGGATGGAGGCAACCCCCCAAATGTGGATTTGAACTCGCAACCGCTGACTGCGGACCGCTCGCTTTACCATTGAGCCACCTGGAAAACGGAATACGCACGCTTACAAACGCTATGATTCACAATGCACGTGCGTCTCTCTCCAGCCAGTGTATTCCCACAACACGGTGGCCTGAGATGTAACTACATTGCCTGGTATACAGGAGGTCGTGGGTTCAATTTCGATGCTGATGCCTCTATTATTTGGAGTTGTGGGCACGTGGATTTTTCTCCAGGTCGTCCAGTTGTTTTTCCTCAACGTTGAGAAACATGCGTTTAGAGTATTTGGCTGCTATACATTCCCATATGATAAGCCACTTCGTTAAGCTATCGTTTGTGGCTAGGTTGGTTCTTAAAAAAAGCTGTATAAGCTCATTGGGTCTTACCTGGTAAAATAAAAAAAATGGTTTAAATATTTTTACCTCTGTATGTGCACCACAAAGCTACAGCAGACGTTATAGGAGATCAACCTCAGATTTGGGACCACAATCACACTGACAGTGTGCTCCAGCCAAGTGTCATGTTTACTCATGCAACATACATCATATGTATAGAGACCCTCAAGCTGTCTGGAGGTTCCAAAAATTATCTGCGTCCGTCTGTTTGTGCTTTTGTCTCTGTGTCATCTCAGCCAGTCATCTCAGTCAATCAATCGATGGCACCTGGGTCTGTCCCGTGACCTCCTGTACCTAGCCTGGCACAGCAGTCAACCCATGGCACCTGGTTCTGTCCCGTGACCTCCCGCACCTAGCCTGACACAGCAGTCAACCCATGGCACCTGGATCTGAACCGTGACCTCCTGTCAGCGAGCCTTCTACACTTCACGTGGCCTCAGTGCACCTTGCCTGGCACAAGCGCCGTGGTGATGTCACCACCACTTTGTAGCAAATGGCGGCTGTTGTGTATGTGCGTGTGTGTCTCTATGGTATTTACTATCTCTCTCTTCGTTTCTCTGTGTCCATACATCTGGCTTGTCTGTCTTTGTGCGTGTGTTTGTTGCTCTCTAACTGTTCTTGTGTCTCTGTGTATGTGTGTGTGTGTCTGTCTGCCTGTTTGTTTGTATTTGTCTGTCTCCCTCTCTCTGGCTGTGTTGCTGTGTCTTTGTCTATATGTGCATCGATGTTGCCACTGGGGCTTCTCTTTCTGTATGTACTGTATGATCCTGTCTGTATTTCCCTCTGTGTCTGTGCCATATGAGGTCACTAAAATAACTATTGGCATGCCAACTTAAAACCGTTCTTCATCGGGAAACTGATAGAATGTATTTATTACCTGGCTACATGGTGTCAAATTCAGTCTCCAGCTCTTATTATCCACCCTGTCTCTCTGAGCTACTTGTGTCCTATGAAGTAGGGTGTTTGCCTGAAACGTCACCTCATCTATATTTCCTTTTAAAGCCGCACACTGTTGTGACGAATGTGTTGAGTGGTTTCTCATTACGAAACTCTCATCACCCGGAATAAATCGCGCAAGGTATGATGACTCGGAGCCCGATTTACATACACGACCGAAAAGGCATCCTCACAAGCAAGCGATACACCACTCCGCCACGCCTGATGCAATCATATGCGTTATTAACCGGCCCAATGTCAAACTACAGATGTCGCTCTACAAACCATATATCAACCGTACAAATAATAACAGAGATTTATAGATTCCAATGCAGAACAATGCGCTCACATAGAGACCCAAAGGCAATTTCACGTGCAGTCGGCTTTCGCGACCAATATTATCCATAATAGAGGTTTGTTTGGGTTGGATCGCGTTTTTGGGTTAAGTGATCTAACGTAAAATACCTCTAATACGGGCCCACATACAACTATCACTATTTTTATTTGACCAGGTAAGGCCCACTGAGCTATATAGCTATTTTATCAGAAGCAAACTGACCACAAATTATAGCTCAACAAAGTGGCTTATCGTGTGGACATTTACAGCAGCCAAATATATTCAGTTTCAGTTTCATTTATTTGGTATAGCCCTGTGAGCCATTCGGCTCTTGAATCGGATGCAACCGCAACAAACAAAAACATGAACAAGAAAACATCTTAAGGTGACTATGCGCAAACAGAAAAATCCAGGAAAAAACAGCAAAAAACAGCAAAAACTTCCAGAAAAAGCACCGTATACCAACGCTGTGTGCAAAAGTCCCAGTAGGATGCAAGTCAAACAACAACAACCACAAGACAACTGAGATTAAAGCCATCAGTCTAACTCCGTACTACAACAAACAAACATGGCCAAACCAAAAAACTTTTTGAAATCACCAAAATAAAGCCATAAAAGCAATGTAACAGTGATCATAGGAACTGTGACCGAAATTTCACAATAAACGACATAAACAACATGTAACACCAAACCCTGTAGCCATAGCTGGCTGCATGAGTCACTCCACAACAGCAGGAGCATCAACATTTTTCAATGCACCTTGAAAGATCAGCACACTAAATCAAAACACAAGATAATACGTTGCAGCAGTCATCGGGAGCGAAACATTTTATTTTAGGCCACTGAATAGCAGTGGCAGCTCGAGGTGTACAACTTCCTCTAGAGCAGTTTTGAGTGAAGATCTCACAGGTAGTGATTCAAGTAGTGATTCTAAACGCACATTAATTATAAATGTGTAGGGGAAAACTGGAGGACCCAGAGAAACATCCACGTGACCACGGGGAGAACACGCAAACTCAAAATGTACAGGGTCAGGATCGAACCCACCACCTCCTGTAGGCCAGGCAAAGTAGTTAACATCTTGCCACTCACACAGAGATCTATAGATTGGAATACAGAACAATATACTCACATACAGACTCGTGGACTCACACAGAGATCTATAGATTCACGTAAAGAAGACATTCACATAGAGACCCATAGATTCAGGCAGAAATCTATAGATTAACATAGAGAACAATAAATACACTCACACACAGAGACCCATTGACTCACAGATGTATAAGGAGACATTATCACAGCAGCGATGCAACATCTGATTCTTTAGTTATCCTGGATAAATTCGATGAGCTATAACTCTTTTTCACAGATGTCCAGTAAAGGCGGGTCAGAAAGTTACAACAAACAATACAAAAATACGATATGAGTGTAAAGTATCGGAAAGGTAAGCAAATCGTTCAAAATAAATGCATCATAACAATACAGCAACTCCGCTAATCCTGGCGCAATCATCCACCCGTCTCATGGAACCACGTCGCTGTAGAATGACAGCTGTCGATCTCCGTCAATGTCAGCCACGTGGTGAAGAAGTGGACAGAGCACACGTAAGACCTCCACAACAAGAACAGCAGCCGTAAGAACTCGTTTCTCTTTATTTCTTTTAGAACTGAAATCTCATTTCTTTAGAACTGCGTTCCGTGCGTTCAGTTATTTTGTCCCCCCCTCCCCACTGCGCACCTCCGATCGGCACGGTTGGCTTTACACACGGTGCGAAAGAAGTTGAACATCCACAAGAAGATTTTGAAGCTTTCGTGACTGCAGGAATCCACACTCTTGGGTTCTTACGGTAAAGTCACGTAGTTAGAAAATAAAATAAAAACAAATCACGAAAGAACCTAAGAGTATAGTAATAGGTTTTACCCTTTTAACCGGCACAAAAAAACTGACACCTTTATTCAAGGCATCGTGTCTGCAATAACCACAACACAAGCAGTCAAAATGCAAACAAAAAGATAACTCTGATAATAATTTGAATTTGATTGGTCCACACCCGAGACGGCTTTTCTTAGAGCCTAGCCTCCACTGGTGTTGGACCAGAAGACGCCAAAAGGCGTACAACTCAAAAACAGCGCACTATCAGAGTATTGAGGGCTCGGGGTGAGCATTTACATCATGAGACCTCCTTTGCCAGTAACAAGATATAGTAATAGGTTTTTACCCTTTTTAACCGGCACAAAAAAAACTGACACCTTTATTCAAGGCATCATGTCTGCAATAACCGCAACACAAGCAGTCAAAATGCAAACAAACCAACGAGTATCATCCCAGACAGGAAGGTTGACGGGAACGCGGCTCATGCGTTGGCAGCAGAGGGCGTCACCGGGATGAACGTTCGACGCCTCTAGCCGTGGAGCTGCCCGGGCAGGCGGACGGGCGGGCGGGCAGGCGGGCAGGCGACGTCCGCCTGACGTCAGGACGGAGGTAGGGGGACTTGGGTCGGAGCGAATGGGGGGGAGGGAGGGAGGAGGAGGATGAATGTTCTTCACATTTATGTGTGCGGGGTTTTTTTTTTAAAGGCCGCTTTTATTTCATTATTTCTCCGCTTTAAGACCCAGAACTCCCTCTCTCTCTCTTTTTTTCTGCTTTTTCTCCTCCTCCTGCTGCTGCTGATCTTTATTCCGAAGGCAACAAGCGAGCAGCTGCTGACGTAACCGACAAAAAACACAGACGGACACAGACACGGAGACACACACAGACACACACACAGACACGGAGACACACACAGACACGGACACACACACAGACACGGAGACACACACAGACACGGAGACACACACACACACGGAGACACACACACACGGACACACACACACGGAGACAAAACAAAGTGGCGAGCAAGGCGGGAGAGTGATGAGTCGGTGGTGTGGGACATGAGGAGGAGGAGGCGGAAGAGGGATGACGATGTAGTTCCCGGCGGAGATTCTTCAACTTCTACACACACCGGCCTCACGGTTTGTTGGTGAGTTCTTCTTCAATGCACAGTCGTTCACTTTGCACTCCCGTGTGGTGTGTGTGTGGAGTGTGTGTATGGTGTGTATCTGTATGGTGTGTGTGGTGGGTGTGTATGTGGTGTGTGTATGGTGTGGTGTGTGTATGGTGTGGTGTGTGTATGGTGTGGTGTGTGTATGGTGTGTGTGTGGTGTGTGTGGTGTGTGTGTGTGTATGGTGTGTGTATGGTGTGTGTGTGGTGTGTGTGTATGGTGTGTGTATGGTGTGTGTGTGGTGTGTGTGTGTGGTGTGTGTATGGTGTGTGTATGGTGTGTGTCTGTGTGGTGTGTGTCTGTATGGTGTGTGGGGTGTGGTATGTGTGTGTATGCTGTGTGTGGTGTGTGGTGTATGGTGTGTGTATGGTGTGTGTATGTGGTGTGTGTATGGTGTATGTGGTGTGTATGGTGTGTGTGTGTGGTGTGTGTATGGTGTGTGTGTATGGTGTGTGGTGTGTGTATGGTGTGTGTATGGTGTGTGTATGGTGTGTGGTGTGTGTATGGTGTGTGTGTGTGTGGTGTGTGTCTGTATGGTGTGTGTGTATGGTGTGGTGTGTATGGTGTGTGTATGGTGTGGTGTGTGTATGGTGTGGTGTGTGTATGGTGTGGTGTGTGTGTGGTGTGTGTATGGTGTGTGTGTGTGTGTGGTGTGTATGTGGTGTGTATGGTGTGTGGTGTGTATGGTGTGTGGTGTGTATGTGGTGTGTATGTGGTGTGTGTGTATGGTGTGCCTGGTGTGTGTATGGTATGTGGTGTGTGTATGGTGTGTGTATGGTGTGTGGTGTGTGTATGGTGTGTGGTGTGTATGTGGTGTGTGTATGGTGTGTGGTGTGTGTGTGTGTGGTGTGTATGTGGTGTGTATGGTGTGTGGTGTGTATGGTGTGTGGTGTGTATGTGGTGTGTATGTGGTGTGTGTGTATGGTGTGCCTGGTGTGTGTATGGTATGTGGTGTGTGTATGGTGTGTGTATGGTGTGTGGTGTGTGTATGGTGTGTGGTGTGTATGTGGTGTGTGTATGGTGTGTGTGTGTGTGTATGGTGTGTATGGTGTGTGTATGTGGTGTGAGTGGGTGTGTGTGTATGGTGTGTGTATATGGTGTGTGTGTGGTGTGTGTATGGTGTGTGTGGTGTGTATGGTGTGTGTATGGTGTGTGTGTGTATGGTGTGTGGTGTGTGTGTGAATGTGTGTATGGTGTGTGCTGCCGAGTTTTAAACTCAACATTGTCTTTGTGTTTTTTTGTTTGGTTCATCGCCACCACTATCATCACCATCCTTGCCATCATCAACAACTTCATACCAGCTTCGTTCGTTGTTGTTGGGTGATGCCTTTGTTTGGTGAGGTAAAGTGTGGGTAAACCGTTGGACAAGAGAGCACCAATCGTCGTCATGTATCCTCAGCGCTGTTGACCAAGTCTAGAGCAGACATCTGTGTGGAGTTTTATGGTGAAACATCCATAATAATAATAGTGAGTCATTATTACTCCACGCGAATTGTGGCGTTACTTATTCTTCCGTACTGTATTAGCGATTTTAAAACGGAACAACAATGTGGGGTTTTTTTTAGTCGTCACAGAATCACGCACACACACACACACGCCTCGCTCTAGCATTGTCCGGATTATAAGACGCATCCTGAAAAGCGTGTGCCCGCTGTCAATAATGTTGTGAACTCTTCAACAAAATCTGGTCTCTCTCTCTCTTCCATCACGCAAACCTGGATAATGCGATGGCACCACGTAGCCGACGATCGCTTACAGCAGCATCAATGAAGTGTTTACTGCACAGGAGTAAGAGCGCGTCTTATAATCTGGTGTTGTCACCGACACGGTGATTCTAAACAAAAGGGGAGGTTCAGACTTTGCCGAGGAGTTGAGCGGCGTCATGCTAACAGGTCCCCTGCAGGGTCTGCTGGTAGAAGTTCGCAAATGAGATCATGTGACTTCCAAATGTTGGGTGCAATAAGACATATCAAGTCTCTGCGCTGTCTATTGCTGATTTTACACCCCAACAGTCACACGAGATTTCACTTCGTTAAAGTATTGAAAGGGGACGGACGGACGGACACATTAATCTATTGCAGGCTGGTACACTCAGTTTACAACGTCGTTCCTACCAGTATAATCTACAATTGTAATCGCTAAAAGTGGCTTTTTATTTCTACTTTTTGCACTATATCCCAGTGAATGTGCAACGGTGGTCCGTCGTCGATCCACCCGCTGGTCCACCGCAATCACAATCGGAATCTTCAAAAAAAAAATTCTCTCCTGGAAGGAATCCAATGAGCGATGAAGCTCTATTTTTTACAACATTAGGTTCCAACGTCGACCCTACGTTGCATTATTACTGGGACGTCAACCAATTACGACTGTAGTTGAGATAGTAATTATATATTTGTCTTGATAAGGGAGGAACTCCAGTAAAGTTCCACGGTGTACTCGGACTAACAGACCTTTTGTGAACTTTTTTTACATTTTCAGTATAACCATTCTGGGAGGTTGGATGGTGCATTCATTTGTCGTGCCTGTGTCAAATCACTGATTTTATCCCGTGAATAAGCCACGTGCTCTAAACCAATAGAAAATTACAGCTGGTATGTATGTCACAGTCTTAGAATGAGTGAAATTTTGACTTCCAGGTTGTATAATCTGTGGAAATGTCCTTTTTTGTGTTTAGTTTGTTGTTCTTCCCCCTCCCCGCACCTCCAATTAGCGCTGTTGGTTACGTGCGGTGCGAAAGAAGTCCAACATACATACACACACGTGCGGTGCCGGCAGTCAACTTCCTTGATTTGCGTTTCAGTCATGTGCATGTAGTGTTTCGCAACACGTGAATCCGTTTAACCATCGTGGGTTCCTCTGCCAAAGCTGCAAATAAAATCTAGTCATTGAAAATTTGTGACATGAAGTTTTGGCATTGACAGCGGCACATGGTTTGTTAAAAAAAACTGTTAATAGGCAACGGTTAGTTCAAATAGGCTTTCAGTATATACATTTTTTTTACCATCCAAAGCTACGCTGCATTTTGTTGGTGAAGTTCTGCACACCACAGCTGTGATTTGGTGATGGTTTAAACATCCCTTATGATTTTCTTGGGTGAGATAATGGACACGGCAGCTGAGTTGTTTGTGATGTGACACATCACCGAGTTGTCCCCGCAATGTTGTGCACACCATCGCGGTATTTTGGCAACGACGCATCGCGGCCCGAGATCGTGTCCCATCCCCGCAGAGGCGGTCTGTCGGTCGGTCGGTCAAGTTTACAGCATCAACCAGGCCACTCGTCCGCACCCCCGGGGCATTGCCTTTTCGCACATCCACAGCAGTTCACCGCTCTTGGCCGGCCGTGCAAGAATCACGAGCTGTCCGTGCTGGTGCCGGGTTGTAACGCAGGCCTCTTGAAGTGTTGTTGGTTGAGGATCGAGCACAACTCGGGAGAGACGTCGCTTGTTTTTCACTGTTTTTCTGCTCTCTCTCTCTGCAACCTAATGCCATCACTTTTGTTTTGGTTGCGAGTGCTTTGCGCTCACGACATAATCGAGGCCGAAAGTAGAGTTCCTGATTGCTTGCCAAGCTCACTGGCCCAGTACCAGTCTGCTAATTTGACCAGATATATTCCCAGCACTCTTTGTTGGATCAGCTTCAGCCACAGAGCCCTTTGTATCACCAAATATGCTGCGGTGATGGCCCAATGCCAGCATCAGAGGTGCATTTGATTTTATTCAAGTGATATCCCTGTGACACCTAGGCTCCGTAATATTGTAGATGCGGATGGTCACCACAACGGACTTGCAGTCCAGACTTCGTCGGATTGATTAAGTTTTACGGCGCTGCAGTTGACGTTTCTTAAAACTTCCCCGCCTCTGTCCACTCAGCAGTGCAAATGGGTACAACCAAAGTTGGTTGGCAGGATCGGTCCCGTGTGGTGGTGGTGTAAACTGTGTGGAGAGCAGTAGTGCAAGGGTTAACGCACTGCGCTACAAACCCGGCGACCCGAGTTCGATTCCCGCTCATGGCCAACACCGGCGACGATTATCTAAACCGGTCCTGGGTCTCCCCTAGGTGGACTCGGCCTCAAATGAGTACCTGGCACGGTATGTAAACATCGCCACTAGGAGACAGGTGGCCGGGCGTGGTGCTGGCCACCCACCCCCTCGTGTGCCGTGCTGGCCTTCATAGGCACTCGCTAACAGCACTTGCCCCTACAGTCTGTTACAGGCTAGATGGGGGATCTTTGGTGTAAACTGTGGTTACGCTCACCTCTTCCAAGACGGCTGGCCAGCTTCGAAAAGGAGGACAAAATACCCTCTAGAGGTGCTCTCGCGTAGAGGACCTTCCGCCAGCAGTGACACGAGCTAATAATTACACGGCCTGCGCCTCTCCCTATTGCAGTACTTTTGTTTAAATCCATACTTTTAATCGCATTCCTCTTCGGCACATGTGTGTGTTTATGACATTTGTTTATTATAACTCTTGTGAGCGTTCCGACATCCATCTGCCTTTAGTTTCCTCTACCCCCCCAACAACAACCCCCCAGGCCAAAAAACAACGCTAGCCGGCTGAGGGTCTGGTTGGTTGTAGCCCTTTTGTCTTGTAACTAAACCGTGGGCCCCGGTCCCTATTGGCTGTGGTTTTTTTATTTCTAGTGCCACATTTTGTTCAAGGGGTTTTCAGTGCAAGATGATAGATGGATCCATGTGGGTTTGCATGTCAGTGTCTCGCCGCAGCCTTTAACTCATTGTCTTGGAGCTCGGCGAGTCGGTTAGTTACACAACCAAGGCATTGTTTTTTTTTACAGCGGTGCCCTTCATGCCAACCAAGTTTTCAGGAGCTGATACATGAGCGAGCAAAGAAAAGGAAAAAAATGCACAGTAGAGACTGCCCTATTGACTAGTTCTCAAGGTTTGCAGCCGGATGCATTGTTGCATGGTTAAATTCCACACGGCAAGAGAGGTTATTGTGCTCTGGCAACGATTTGCACG